TTTTTTTTTTTTTTTTTTTTTCTTTGTGGTGCTGGGGATCCAAGCCAGGGCCTGGAGAGTGCCAGGCAAGAGCTCTCCCTCCCCAGTCCTGCGTCTCCTATGCATGTTCCTTCTTCCACCACTATCACTGCCCATTCTGCCCATTTCCAGTCGATATCTCCAGTGACAGCCCAGGGCCAGGTATATAGGAAAGATGCAGATGGATGTGCAGAAGGGCAAACTGAGGCATGAACTCCCTCCCTCTACACTTGAAAAACAATTCTTGACATCTAACAGAATAGATTGTGCCTAGTGGTTACTTTTTAAATCCCAATATAATTATATTATTTGACATTTGTTATATGCCATCATCTTTGACAGCTAAAGTGTTTCATGTCCTGCGATTTTTTTTTCTTCTCTCACAGTGGTTGTAGATAGCAGGCAGTAATTCCTAGGAGAATTTCTTGATGAAACGGTAAATAAGTTATCAGTGAAAGATCCAAAAAGTTTTAGAAAAACAGATGTATAATAAAAATATACATTTATTGGTAATTAATTTTAAGCATTTTAAAAAACTGGACCTTTCTGGGAGGGCAGCATATGAAAACAGAGTCCCAAGGAGGGGACAGTAACACTACCTCACTACTATACCCACAGTGGCTGGTTGTTCAGACATGATAGAGTGCATAAGCTACATGTTTTATTACACCAAGACAGTCTCAATCACGAAGGAATACTTTTGAGATTTTATTCTCAATCACGAAGGAATAATTTGGAGATTTTATTCTCCTTCAGAATATCATAGTGCTCATTGTTTAAACTGCCTTTTTGTTGAGCTGAAAGATAGGGCTCTGATTTGTATGCTGAAATCACAAGCTCACACTATTTTACCAGAGGGTGGTCGTATGTCTGAAGAAGAGAATGTGTGTCTATGTAAGACATGCTACCTTTGTAGTATGTGAAGAAAGTACCTTCACTTCTTCATATGATCATTTGTGATCCTTGTAGCATACTGTATTTGGTTTCTAAATTACTGCACTATTTCTCAGTCTCTAAAAAAAAAGTTGGTTAATCCATTTCAGAAATTACAATTTTAAGGTATATTAATTTTCATCATGTCTTACCTCAGAAGTCTTTCCCCGGATGTTCTGTTTTCTCTATCGTCAAACATCTGGGTTTGAAGATTTGAAAAGCCTTGTTTTCTCTGTGTGGTTCACCTGCTTTCCATTTGGTGTTATGCACTCAAATTTACATTCTATTAAAGTTACCATTTATTAAACATTTTTCACATACAGTAGATTCAAGTTGTGTCTGAAAATATCATGCTTTTTGATTTAACTGATTTTAAAAAGACTAATCTGGGCTAATGTCATGAAAAGGAAATGTTTTGCTTAATACATTTTTGGGGGATTTGTAGGACAAAAGGTAACTGGTTAATCTCGAAGTGACTGTTGCACAGTGGTTATGCACTTGCTTCAGGACCCTACAGAAGAGAAGTTTCTACTTACTGTACACCAGAGGGTTAAACAGTAGACCTTGCCCCTCACGCTTTGAAACATAAATGTTAACTTTTCCAAAGCATTAAAGCAATTGCCATAATAGGTGAAAACATGGACTTCCACTGGATTTTTATTAATTTTCCTCATTTTGAATTGTGTGCACTACCGCTGCTACATCAGCTTGTTACACTGTTAAAAAATTACCAGTGACATTTGCTGTTTATAATCTATTTGTAGATTAGGATTAAAATGGATTTCATGCATTTTTAAAGCTGTGTGAATTTTTCTAAACAGGAACAGTCACAAAATGAATTTTCATAGTGATAAAACAAATTATAATTTTTATCATTGGCCGTTGAGAGCACATGTTCATATAGCAATGTAAAAATACACTAATGAGTATTGGTAAATTCCAATAAGTTTTTACCATTAGCATAATTTTGTGCTGTACAATTAAGTTATAGTTACATCTCTAATTTTGGATAGTATTCAGTGGTTAACAAAACCTCAAAAAA